ATGTGTGTATGGTAAACATTTGAATTTGAGTATGTTAAATTTAGGCGAAAATACCAAAAAACGCCCTGAGCTAAGTGGTTAAAATGACAAATTTGCAAAAAAAACAAAAAAAAAAACATCCAAAATAAAACCAGTGTGACGCAGATCTGTTGCTGTACCAATGTCTTTCTTCTGTTGAGCACAAAAGAAGATATTTTGAAGAATGTTGGTAACCAAACAAGTTGCCGGTAGCCATTGACTTACATATTATGTTTATCCATAATATGGAAGTCAAAGGGGACCAGAAACTGTTTAGTTACTCATTCATACATATCACACATTCTTCTATCACGCTACATTCACATCATTTATATTACATTTTGTTGTAATTAAGTTGATAAGGTCTGTATACAGCGTCTCGTAAATTTAGAGAATTGGTTAAAATGACAAATTTGCAAAAAAAAAAACAAAAAAACATCCAAAATAAAACCAGTGTGACGCAGATCTGTTGAGTGACCACTAGATGGTAGAAGCCAACAGCCAAAGTCAACAGTGTTAAGTTTTTTTATTTCATTATTATTGACCAGAACGAATAAACAACATTGTACAAAAATGTACATAAAACATGTCAGAGTGTACAAACAATTGATTAAATAATTAGCATTTTATTTATTTTTTTTAATGCTCAAAAATCAAAAACAGTATACAAAAAATAACACAACCATCAGCATAAAAATGATAGACAATAATAACAAAACAAAATAAAAACAAATAAATAAGAAAAAGGCGGTGTTTAATCCATTACAACCTGGAAAAAAATTTGAGACTTAATTAAAGATTCTTTGCTTTTTATTAACAATGTTCTCCAAAGTGGTGCGTTTTAATCTCTTGGAGAAAATGAATGAAATTGGGCTTGGATCCTGACCATTTCTTCTTAAGTATGTGAAATTTTCCCAAAATAATCAAAAGTTATTAAAATTATTATTATTATTACTTTAATTGGAATAATAGGCTACATAAATATATAAAAAATTATTTAACTTGAATATAATATTTGTTTTCCTTCAAATGAAATTTTCCATATCCACCCAGAAAAATCCTTGTGTATACACAATTACAAACAGATGGACAATAGACTCCTTTTCAAGTGTTGTTTAAGGTTTCTTGATTAAGTATGCATTCTTTGTCATCATAAAGCGGGAGAAATCTGGAAGACAATTAAAATGAATTAAAACTACGTCTTTAGTATTAGGCCACAGTCAGTGCTAAAGTACAAAATAAAACAATCATAATGGTGGAAATCTCAAAAGGCGTCTAGACTGCAAGTAAACATTGTGGATAATTACTTATTCATACTCAAATGTGTTTTGAGAACATTTTAATATAATTCTAGAATATTTTCCTCACAGATCGACCCTATAGGTATCAATTTGTAAGAACAGCACTTGTTAAAATTACTGGAGAAATAAGAACTTAAAAAAAAAAATCATGACTACTAAGTGTTGTGTCTCCACATGACACTTCACACGTAAACCTGTGTTTATATTAGGCTGACATCTCTCTGCTTGACACGTTCACACACGCTTACGTCACTTCCTGCTCCTCCCATCCGGCCTGTCAATCACCCGCGGTTACCCAACACCTCTTATTGCAGTTACTGTAAGTACATTGTGTAACTTATCTATAGGTAAATAAACTATGCATAAAGGGAAAAAAGTCTCCATTTATTTTGACAGGTCTGGAGCTCGGCTGTGGTCTGATCCGCACCGGAAGCGTTCTGAGACGCGGACGGAAACGGCAGGGTCACTGGTTTACATGCTGCTCTCTGGTTATGGTTAGTCATCCTCCAGGGCTTCATGACTAACAAGCTGGCAAAAGACAGGAAGGGGGTTTTCACAAGAACCGACGGACGACTATTTTCATCCAGGAACCTTCCTCTTCTCTGAGCTCGACCCGTCTGTCCATCCAGATGTGCTTCCTGAAACTACCGTACTTCCGTTAAATAACTGTGACATTATTTTTCTTTCCCCTGCTCTCTTCTCAATGTACATTTAACATACTATTTTGTCAAAGCATCAACACAGAAACATACAAAGAAGAAAGGGGAAATAATTAAATGGAAGTAATGATAATGAAAATATGAATACAAAATATTTAATAAAAAAATAGACAAACTGTAAAATTAAATACACTAAACTTTCATTAAGACATTAATGGACATTTTCTTTGAATGATTTAAATAATATTTTATCATAATAAATGTTATAATAAATAAATAATATCATATAATTATTCTTCCTCCAATATTTATTCTTAATATTGTTGAAATATAATTAAAAAAATAATTTGATGTTTAAAATATTTAATAGTAATGTATTTTATAATAATGAATTCATATAAATATGTCTAATCATATTTCTTAATATAATTAAAATATAGTTATTTTAAAATATAAAAATGTAATAGTGTATGTATATTTTTCTTTGAAAATAGTGCATCTGATAAATCTTTAAACTTTAAATCCTCAACAATATACATGATTTAGGGAATCATTCATGTCTGGAGCACAAAAGTATGACAGAAAATAAAATTAAATGATACTTCATTTAGAAGAGCTCACTGCAAATTCTGGATGCTGGTAAAGTGACATTTTTCAGACTCTAATTTAGGGTTACACACCCACATCTGACGTCAGAACAGACTAAACAGACTCTGTTTTAAGCACAGCTTCTGGTGCAGACTGAATATGGAAGGCAGCAGCAGCCAAAAGCCCTTTAAAGGAACGCATGAAATTCAACCATGTCAACACACACTTTTTGTCTGTGTTAACATGACAACACACACAGCAGCCTATGAAATTGGTGTATTTGAGACTATATTTGCACATGTGATGTGATCATTGTGTATATACATAAACATCAGATGTCATGTTTATTCATGAAGGATGTCATCATGAATACACTGGCCATCAGATGTTGTATTTGTTCATGAGGGATAACCAGGATTGCCGCTCTGCTCCAGAGTGTGAAACTCGCTAGACTGTGAAACTTAGAAAAATGGCTTTAATGATTTTTATTTGTCCAAAAAAATTAATTATAGGCAGACAGAATCATTATAGTAACATCTGTATAAAATCTAGTGATCATTGGCTAGGCTGTAACATATAGTAATGTGATTCAGTATTTTCTTTTTTCTGACCGTAACAACCAGACAAAAAGTTAAATGTGAGTGGATACCATTTTGCAACCAATTTATTTGCAATGTTCACTAACATTAACAGATGCAAGACATACTTAGCCTATTGTTTTTACATCGAACTGAATGAAAATAGCTTAACCTTAGAACGACTTGTGGATTGATGTGAACGCCAGCTGGAATAATGCTCAGAATGATTGTGAATTAAACATCTCCGATGACGTTCATTGCAATGGATTTTATCAAGTTACAAGAAAAGGTAGGAAATGGATTTAATTGCGAACTGTTACTGATTTTATGTGTGCTACGCTGTCACGGCATTCGACTCCTCACACGTGCAGAAGTGGGCAGCCCCAGACTGACAGCTGGCACTGGGTGAATAATCTGCATTATAAAAAGAAAAAAAAACTTTAAAGATTATTTACGATTAATGATTGTTGGTAAGTTATCTAGTCGTTGCTTGTTTACAGTGCTTTGTTATATGGAGCAGTTTGTTAGATCGCGATCTATCTAATTTGTTTGCCTAAAGAAGTGCCAGATGTATGAAAGTACACAAGTTGCACCGTAATTTAAACGCGGCAGACTTTAATGTACAGTAAAACGAAGGCAGAATACTGTATAACTCCAGGCTGGCACAGTAATATTGACGAACGGCTAAACAAATGCAGAGCACCGTAACTTAATTTGAACGGTCTAAACAAAGTCAAAGAGCGGTAACTGATGATACTGTGTTCTGCCTTGGTTTCTCCTGGGCTTTTCTCCAAGATACTTATACACATGATAAAGGAGGTCATATATGTCCCAAAATTACCAATAACTAATTTCGACCAAAAACGAAGTTTTGGTGTTTTGTCTTTGCACGGCAGCACTGCTGTCACTGTACTGCCCTACAAAGGCAAAAGACCTTAACTCGCTAGAGTGTGAAACTGAGAAAATTTATTTTAAAGTTTTTTACTTGTCCAGCCAAACTAATTATATAGAACACTGGAAATTTGGCAATTAGATGTTTTAGTAATGAAAATTATCTACATAAAAAAAATTGTGAGCTCAAACTTGATTTTTACCCCTGTTTTGAAGTTAATGTACTCTGCCTTTGCATTGTCTGCAAAACGTGAGAAGTCACACCAAGGCTAAAGACAGTAACATCCACATTATCAATATTTGGTTG